TCGGTAATCACTGCGTATCGGTATTTGGGATTCAAAACAAATCTAAACCCGCAATTATCGGCATAAAGAAACGAACAAAATCAGAATTAGCCTCAACATCACAGCAAATTGTTAGCGGTATGAGAATGTGCGATGTCACGGAAGCTAATAAGCATCAGCTCCCCGTGTGTAAGTTATCCCAGCGGGAGTATGCTGGGAAAATTAAATGACTGTTTTAATATTTCAGTGTCTTTATTTTTTAAAAAAATCGAATTATTAATTTGTGTTTTATATAACGTGAACTTAACTTATAATTAAGGCGTCACTAACTATACAAAAATGTCCATACTAAACAATGCACTTTATTTTTTGCCTTCAAATTATAGTTTTTAACACACATTTCGTAAGATAGGTAGGTAGTAAAATTACCCCAAGGTTACAAAATAATTTGATGCTCTTGGTATGCGCTCCTGTATTTGATCCTAATATGGACAGTCATGCTTCCTGTAAATTTTACTCGATTAACTGATCGAGGTAACCATGAACAAACAAGTGAATTGATGTAAAGTTACCGCAATCAATTGTGTTAGAAAGAGAAATATGTGGACTAAAATAACCGAAAATTAGTAGACTCTGGTAGACGTTTCACTAACCTAATCCACACATGGAATGTGAAAACCTTTTGAACTACAGGTAAGAAGGGCCTTTTCTAGCTCAAGGGCGCTTTCTGTCTAATTCGTAACAGATAACAACACAAACAAATAAATAAAAGAGGTAGTGAATCGCGTTGCACATAAAATATTGCGTAAGCAATTCTAACGTCTGGGACGGAGGCAGTCGTGTATTAAACTGTAATATATACTCTATGAGAATCAATAATTCGAATGACTTCACACTAGCAAATGTAAAATTTTGATCAACCACGGGTTATCCCCACAACTCCACATAGCAGACTTATTACATTGCATATAACATGCACATTCCACGTGGGGTTTTGTATATCCATAGAATGTGGAAAAGTATGTCGCAAATGTCCGATGTATGTGCATGGGATATAAGTTTGGCATACTTCACAAAATATATAGTATACTTATACGTTTTTGTGGTGCTTAACTGGCAAATGACACTATTTAGTTTTAGTAACTATGCGGCAATGTACAGCGAAAAGATCTAGATCGGCAAAGTTCAATCTCTAAATCCAGCAAAGGTCGAAGCATGTTAATGATTTTCTATTATAAAGTATACGTAGTAGATGATAAATAGATAAATAGTAATACTATAGACCTAATAATAATGACAAAAAAAATGCTTTTAAAGTGGAGAAATGTAGGGTTATGTTACTTTACTGTAATTTACGTTGGCTGTACTTATGTTGGCAACGGCAGAACCAGTGGGCGGAACGACAAGTTGTTTTTAAAAACATAACCTCTAAGTTGTAGTATAATTATTATTTGTAGATAATCGTCCTAATTTCAGTATGAATGTTTAAGCACAGATATTTATATTTATATTTAGATCTGTGATCATAAGGAAAAACAACAAAGGAGTGTACTACTTTAGATTAAGTACCTATAATAATACCTATGTAAGTAGTGAAAATCGCTGACTTTATTTATGCACTGTTAGGAATATTTTATATTACTTTATATAAAATGCGAAACACGTTGCCAAGAGGACATTGGTTCTGGGGCCACTGTTTTTCCAGTTAATGTGTTTGCGATGGCCACTTTAGCGTGAAGGGAGTCCTCGATCTACCCTTCCGCCACGGCAGATTTCCACTCTCCATGGCGTTTCAGTGCTAGGAAATCAGCTCCTTTCCTTGCGCAGAGCTCCGCCTAAAGCAATTCCCTGTAAAGCTTTGAGCATTGGGAAGATGCAGAAACTCGGCAATCTTTCGTGGCATGCTACCGAAGGAATTCATACCTACTGGCTGCCGTGTACACTTATTATTAGTGTAATAAATGAAAAACCGATTATGGGATGTACTTTTTATAGTGCTAGCATAACTTGTTCTGTATATTCCGTAATGCCGTTATCTGTGCACCACTTCGTGAACTTCACATACTCTTCATTATAACGATTTGATGATTTTTTTGGCAGTAGATTTGCCATTGCCTTATTTGCACAAACTTGTACGTGCTCTGGTATACTCATTTTGACGTAAATAAAAAAAAAAATCAAAGAAATTTCAAATTCAAATATCAAAATGGCGAACAGCAGTGCTACCAACGCAATATTGCGTAGAAAAAAAACCCAATATACCTTTTAAATGTTATTTATTTGAGTTATTTAAATATTTCAATAAGTAAAAGCAGCACAAAAAATTTTTTCTATTTCGGTGTCACAATGATAATTTTGTACAACTGTTTTTGGCCGAAAACAGTTGTACAAAGACAGTGATTATAGTCGTTTTTTTTTTTGGTAACTTATCTGCATCTCTTAAGTTGGCAGTTACTAGTTAGTACAAGTAGGTACAATACTTCCATGTTTGAACCTCAAAATGTCAGTCTTACTACGCTGCCAACTTAAAACTTAACGGCATAAAAAGTGTTCCCAACATAAAACATGTTAGTTCTAATGTTCCCTATAGTTTCTGATAATGATTTTTTTAATTAAATTAAAGCACCGAAATAGAAAAAATAGTATGAAAAACGCGTGTTACAATGCTTTATTGTAATACTTCTATCTTGCGGACACTCGTGGCTACGCTTCGCGTCGCCACTCGTGCCACAAGATAGTCGTATTACAATAGGTCGCATTGTAACACTTGTCTTTCAATATACTATTGTATGGTACGCGAGCTGAAAACTATAGCTATAGGCTTCCATGCCGTCATTAACGGTCATTACGCTATAACGTATTTTCAGCTCTTGTAACATAAATTACTATTTGGATGTCTTATGTATATGCATCAGACATGCTGTGTATATTAGTATACTGACAACTGGATATACCATGAATATTCCTGTAATATGCAAAGATGTTCAATAGGATATTCTATGTATATTGTATACATTCAGAATGGATAGAGATTCCTCTAACATTCTGGAAGTTTACTAGCATCTATACCTACATAAATAAATCCTTTTCACTGAGTGAAGCTTTTTGTTTATTAAGTCTCCTAGTATAAAATGGAAAATGTGCTTAAGAAATTATTATTGTTTTATTTAACACGGTAGTCTTAAGTCATCTTGATCGTGTTTTTGTTCAACACTATAATAGCGCGAGTTCATAACACATAGGTCGCTAACATACCTGCCATTCTTGTCCTTATATTAATTCCCATCCAGTCTTTACATCTCACTAACACATATCTGCAACGTTAGGTCATGCACACACGAAATAAAAATCATTACGTACACTGTCCAAATTAGACAAACAACTCATTAATAACTCGCGGAATAACACTTCTGATTTTAGAAAAATGAACTGTATTTGTAATAGCACCTTACTATGTTCATCATGTATCAAATCCAAAACGTATATACATAACATATAATCCCATCTATATACATGGAAGATCCTCGTGAATATACATAGGTAGTATATAAGGTGGACAGGGTATTCCCTGTACATTATGGATTTAAAATGTATATACTTAAGATATCGAATGCTATGTGGGACTGTATATAGAAGCATACACGTCAGGTTAAATTTAAGAAAAGTATTTTAAATTTCTTCTGCTTCGCTTCTACTTTCGCTTCCATTTCCGCGCCCGTGCCCGCTTCCGCTTCTGAGGTCGCTTCTATTTTCCGTTTCCGCCTCTGCTTCCGCATCCTCTTCTGCGTTTGCTTCCGCTTCTAATTCCGCGTCTACTCCCGCTTCTGCGCCCACTTCTGTGCCCGCTTCTACTTCCGCTTCCGCTCCTACTTCCACTTCCGCTTCATTAATCCCTTAATTTACGCTTTACGCCTCACAAAACTTTTTAAACTATCAGCACTTACAACTTCCATAAATGCTTTCAGTTGATACTGGTCTGACATGAATGGCGCCAATAACCCACAAAAACCAGTTCTTCCAATATACGTCCATATTTGATCCATTTTAGATCACGACATTCATGCAGCAAAAGCGTAGGTACAATGGACGCCCGATGATTCTCTCTTATGGAATATTTAATAGGTGTTCCATAAAATAATTACAATTTACGTCTGTTAGATGGATGTTCCAATTACGGCGCGCCATGAATTTCAGTACATCTACACGCGGCTGCGCAGTGCGACATTAGTACTTTATTTTCTCAAAATTGCTAACTTACGTGATTAACGTTTCTTTTTTCCTTTAAAATTGCATGTGACAGCGTATGTGATGTATAAGTATATATCATGTAATAGTTATTTTTAAAACGGCAAAGCAAGTTTATAAATGTCATATTTATATTGTAGGTTATGTTTTGACCCATAATTAAAGCATTATTTATGTGTTAACATAGAATTTTGTTTTTAGAAGCTGGGATGCAGATATTCAAAAACACTTCCCAAGACAACTTCGATAAAGCAATGGCTCAAAATGAAAGGAAGAATTTTTTGTTACTGATTTGTTACATTATTAATTTATATCCCGATTGATTTTGAATAGATATCGTTATTTCCTAATATCATCAAATAAAACGACAGGTACGTACAAGGAATGCACATTGAATGGAGGTCCATAGGACGTAAATTATGTACCTACCTACGTACTTTTTTATATTATACCATGCTACGTACATAAACTGTCCATATTATTGACATTTGGACCTAGTGGACGTCCAAATGCAGAAAGTTTGTGTATACACGTACACATACTATGTTTGATGCAACAGTAGTTACTAATTTTGTCTAATTTGGCATTTTTTTGTGTAAAGTGCCCGGACTAATAAAGGAAACTAATTAACCATATAGTAAAGCTATTTCTTTCAATTCAGTTTCGTACAATCACGAGATATTGGATAACCTTTAACCTATCAATGCCCCCAATATGATAAAATCTATAATAAAATAGCGTGTCAGATATATACCCTAGTGCTACTGCGTCGCCATGATAGAAACATGCTTGATACTGTCGTTGCTAAGACTTTCAATGCAATGTACAGTCTCTAGTTTCGAAAACAACGTAATTAAGGTAAATGGTGATACTAAAACAATAAGTGGCTGCATTTCACCTGAGACCATTCAATTTAACGGCACAATTTCCAATATAGATGTAAAAAATCAAGATATTCAAGATTTAAATTACGGTGCAGTTCAGCGAATCTCAAGCAACTTTCGTATCGACTTTTCCAATACCAACATCAGGAGTATAAGAGCAGGAGCCTTTTTGGATCTTCCCCAACTTGCTGGAATAACAGTCGTGGGCAACGAACTCTTCTGGATTAATGAAAATGCATTTCAAGATTTACCGTGGTTAAATAGAGTGGACCTGAGCTACAATAAGATCACCGATGTGTCGCCGCGTGCTTTTAATAATCTTCCAAACTTATATAATGTGTCTTTTTACGGAAATAGATTGGGACATTTTGACCAATCTTGGTTTTATAAAACGCCCGATCTTGGAATACTCAGTTTGGCATATAATCGCTTGCGTAGGATTCCACAAGATGCTTTTACCCACCTGCCCGCTATTAGGGCCCTATGGCTTAATAGTAATGAAATACAGTTCATCGAAAAATACGCCTTTAAGGGATTAAGAGATTTGGAAGATTTGGATTTGTCTAGAAACAAATTAAAAAGCTTTGCCTTCAATTTCTACGCCCCTTCGAGTTTGCATAAGGTTTACATTGAAAATAATAACATAACGTACATATCTGATGAAGTGCTGGACGTAATACGATCCGCATTAATGTTGCTCACCATAGATGATAATCCTTTGCAATGTGCATGCCTGGATAAAGTAATGGAATGGAGTGACGCCTTTAATATAAGGGTTCCACAGAAGGAATTGCAAGGTTCCAGTCCCATTTGTACAGTTCCAAAGACAAATCCAAACCAGTGTCTTGAAAGAAGTGATGATGATTTCCAAAAGGGATTCTGGGTTGGTTTTGAACGCGCGCGATGATCTGGAAGATTTTAATTAAGAATACGTTTTTTGGAACTGTGTCACTACTTTTTGCTTGTGTTGATAATAAAAGATCTCTCGCTGCCACAACCATTTGCGTTCGTTGTGAGACCCAGGGAAAGCTGACTATTTCTCGATTGTTAACTGCCGTTCACAGAAATTTAAATTACTGTCTGTTTTTTGATAAATAATGTCCTCCTTGCTTAGTAAGAATTAAACTGTTATTCAAAAACTCTGGACTGCAGCAAAAGGGGTAGATTTTAGATACGAAATATGGCAGCAAATCCTGTGTTTGGCAACTTATACTGCCAAAGATTAACAAACAAGTATAAAAAAACTTATTAAACAATTATTTAACCAGGCGCTAAGGGTAACTATTACAGACTGTATTCCAGATAGTGACGAGTTATCTCCTGCCCTTTAACCTACGTATCGTTCAACTGCAAAATAAGTTAATCGCATAATCCGACCAAAAATACATCGATTATCCCATAATTATAGTCTGGATGCCAAACTGGGATTTTTGGCTTAACCTGGAAGTGAGGTACGGTGAAGGTTTTTTGACGGTTTTTAGTTCATAAAGATGTCTACTTTGAGAATCCGTTTGATGCCACCTTGACACCCTTGAGCATTTTGAGAAATTCAAGATGGCGGCCAAAAAAGTCAGCAAAAAAATACAAAAACTAAAGTTTTAAAAAATATGGGCATATAACACATTGATTTTAGGGTTTTCGAACATTCTGAATTCAAATTTGCTGTTAAAAATATTTTGGGGGCGTTTTGGTGGAGTGGGGGGTGTTTTTGGTTTATATATTTTTTCAATATTATCGAGTCGTACATCGATTTATATGTTTTTATGAATAAGAATCTCGAATTTCAGATCAAAATAGGTACTAAAACATAAACTCCTATTTGTTAATTATTTTGGGGGGGGGGAGCTGTTTGAGGGGGGAAGCTGAAACTACTGAATAAAATAAAAAACAAACAAAAAATAAATATATTAACTCAAACTCAAATACATTACTTACAGATATAATACATTTTTAAACAAAAAAATAACCAGCAAAAAAATTGCAGATAAACATAACTTTACTCGTTGTCCGATTCTTCGCTTTCTGATTCATTTTGCGCAGTTTCCACAAATTTTGTTAGTGGATTTTTACATTTATTTTCGTCCCTTTTGCACATCAGGCTGCATGACAATCCATTTGATAGACAACCACATCTGTACGAGCTACAGTGGTCATTAGCTTTGCAAGAGCATTTAGCAAGCCCTAGAATAAAATCTGGTGCCAATTTAGTATTTTTGGGGACAGAAATTGGGTTTAAAATTTTGTTTTCGTCATCTTTTTCCCATCCATATTGAGTAACGTCAATTTTAGGACGAACAAGGTTTTGGGCAGTTTTCGCAAAAAGATTCGGTCGTCGGCGGTAGAGAAGCAAATGAGGGTGCTTTTAGTTGGGCATGTCCAACTTTTTTAGCCCAAACAGACAGTCTTGCAGCCGTCATATTGTCTACGGATTTGAGGTTATAGCAGACTGCAATAAAGTCGGTACACACTTTAAATAGGTACATCTTTTAAATTACTGTCTTCTCTAAAATCGAATCGCAGATTACACTCTTCTGTTGGTTTAGATCCTTCTTGTACTCCTACTTTTTTTGAACAATCTGGCAATGTGGGTCTTTGATGTGTATGTCGACACACGCGATGACAATAAAATTCATGGATCTCTAGTCTCTGCTGGTCCTCAATCCAATTTCTCAGGGTTTCATCTTCACGTTGGTAGCACGCACTAATTATTGTTTGAAGTCTTTGTTCACTGATTGTCATTAACTGTTCGGATTTCTCACACTGAAACATGCACTTTTTTATGTTCACTTTTAGTTTCCATCCTGGCGTTGATAGTCTTGCAAAAAGAAAAATGTGTTTTTATTTTCGAAATTATTTCAATAGGTATAAAATAATTTCAGAAATAAAAAAACCCGTTCTTGAAAAAACAAATGCTGAAAAAAAGTTAATATTGTAACTGTGAAAATTACTACTAACCAAAACTTTTGCTTTGATATTAGTAGCTATTTGCACAATTACTCATTGGGATATGTGGGATGGGGATATTTAAGTAAGGGTATTGGAGTAAATGGTAAACTTTTTAAAATGATGTCGTTTTGCAGCGCGGGGCGTCTGTGGGCGTCGTTCTACTTTTTTAAGATTGAATAACCTGCTGTACCTCCATTTTGATATGGAATTCGGGATCCTTATCCATAAAAACATATAAATCGATGTACGACACGTTAATATTGAAAAAATATAAAAACCGACCCCTTAAAAACACCCCCCACTCCTCCAAAACGCCCCCCAAAATAATTTTAACTAAAAATTTAAATTTAGAAGGCTTAAAAACCATAAGATCGATGTGCTACATGTCCATATTTCTAAAAAATTTAATTTTTGTGTTTTTTGCAGACATTTTTGGCTGCCATCTTGAATTTCTCAAAATGCTCAAGGGTGACAGAGTGGCATCAATCGGATTCTTAAAATAGACCTACTTAGTGACCTAAAACCGCAAAAAAATTTTCACCGTACCTTACATCCAGCTTATTCGTCTGGCTTCCAGACTATTACAAGATATGTCTCAGTTAAACCCTTACGAAATTTACAAACTGCATCCCCATGATCAAAACGTGATACCCTGATATTCCAAGAACACCTCCAATATCTAAGAATCACACTAGACCACAAAACTGAATTGGAGCAAACATATCCAGCTCAAAGTCGAAAAAGCAAATGGGGATTTCTGGCACTGTACGAGGCTGGATTGTGCAGCTACTTAAGACTCAGAACTGCGCCCATCAGCGTTGGTGACGAAACACTGGGGTGCACAGTAGTGAGAGGATGCCCATCAAGGCATGGTACTATCAGCACTTCTGTGGAACTGTACTGTAAATGGCTTATATGTCGCTTCAACGACAGCTGTTACTATAATACCTACACTGAGTTACGCGGATGATGTATCCATACTAATAACCGCCAAATTTGAAGTTACTCTGTGCAGTCTGGTGCAATCAGCTCTCAGAGTAATCGAAGAATAGTATAGGGAAGAGGCCATCCTTATCCATCAACCCGACAAACGCGGAGCTGTGATTTGCATTTTGCAAATTATAGGTATGTTATATAATGATGCGGTATTCTTTTCTCAGCTTTCCTCACATTTCTCTCACAAGTTTCCTTTAAGTTCTTATCGTTATTTCTTTGGGATTACCTTTTACGTTTGACCTACTTGGATATTTACGCATTACCTATGCCGTGCATGGATGATTTAGCAGTTTTATTTGGACCCCCCATTTTAACAAGCTTGACAGTTTCTACATTACCGACTTGGCAGAATTACTCGCATTTCAGTGTAACCAAACAGCCAACAGTGGCCTACTTCGAGATTTCTACTTGGAGACTTCGATATTTGTTCCGGAATCCAACTGCAAGTATATTACGAAACGCGAAACCTTGGAGACTACTATACTTGAATTTAACGTCACTTTTAAGCTGTTATACAGAGACTGTAAGGACAGTCTTAGTCGACCAAATTTTACTTTTGCTAGTGTAAAGTCATTCGAATTATTGGGTCTTTGTTCTCAGTTTTAGATTTAACTGTGATTTTAGTATACGATTAGCCTACCGTGTCAAACGTTAGCATTACTATTTTGCTATATTCTATTCAGCGCGATTCAATAACCCTTTTATATGTTCGTTTGTGTTGTTTTCTGTTAGAGAAAACGCTGACCGCGCCCTTCTGCGTAACTCGGACATATTTTGAAAGCCTAGGAGATCCTTAGGTGTAGATGGAAATCGCCCACCCATTTCTCCAGTGGACCAAGGAAGCGCAATGCAGGTTACTTTTCTGCAAAACATGTGTACCTTAAGGGTAAGGTTTCGGAATTATTTTAGTTCATGGTGTTCCCGATTGCCATTACTTTAATCTCAAACATACACTGTCTTGAATGCTAATTCGTTTTATCGCAACTAATAAGAGCATATCCGCTTCCCTTTCAGCAAGTCTACAAAACAACCGCTTTTTCTACGATGATAGCTCGTGATGGAATAGCAAAAAAAAAACACGAAAACATACCATCCTAATCTGATTTTCATTAATATTGCAAATAGTGCAGGATAGGCGTAATCTCGTTAGACTGTATCCTCGCACAAATCGGAATGATTGTCATCAGCTAATGATATTATAATTCGCTCACATTCGAAGTAAATTGCAATCAACACATAAATCAATCGTTTTGTGTTTTAGCCTCGCGGTAGTGCAAAAATTTGCGTCCATTTTATGTTTCACTTAATTAACCGCTAACGAATAAAATGCGAATAAAATCTTAGTTCTTGTTTTAATAGTTTTCCTTAATTATCTTTCACATTTTTGAAAAACTTTCAATCCGTTCTCGATCTTTTTATTGCCTCGTAAAATTGAGGCATTCTAAGTTTTGAGGCGTTTTCGCAGTTTTTAATGCAACTAAACACCGTGGGATTGCGTAATCAGATAGACATTTTATGACCAACAGATATAATTAGTTTGATTTTTGGTTAGATTGATGGAGTTGGGGGAAGATTGCCTAGGGAAAAAGATAATGTACCTAATTGATGGGATCCACACGAGGTGAAAGTTCAAACGTCGCTGATAAAGGTGCTTACTTCAACTGTGTCATTTAATAACCCATTAAAAGTAATGAATGCTTATTAAGGTGAATACATTAGGCTTTAAATTGCATCACGTTGAAGAGAAACGCTGTATCTTCATCGCTGAAGAGGTGGGTGGTCACCCAAGTGCGTCACTTCGCGATAATTTTTATAACACCATTAAAGACAATTTTGATCTCAGCCGAAGATAATGTTGTTACTTTAATACAATACGTAATGACTAGATAAAATGCTGACACATAAATATCTACGTTTCCACAATCACACGCGTATTATACGCGCTTACCTTAAAAAGAATAGCCAATTATGTCACATTACGAACTGTTACATAGTTACTTTCAATATTGTAAATCTCAAAACGGATTATGGTTATACGTGATGGTTTATCAA